GGTGGCTCATATCTGTAATCCAGCACTCTGGGAGGCTGAGGCACGTGGATTGCCTGAGCTCAGGAGTTCAAGACTTGTGTCTGAAAACTAGCTGAGCTATGTATGGCAGGTGCAGGTAGTCCAGCTACTCAGGAGGCAGAGACAAGAAGATAACTTAAGGCCAAGAGTTTGAGGTTGCTGTGAGCTCTGATGCCACAACACTCTACCCACGGCAACAAAGTAAGACCCTACCTCAAGAAACAAAAAGAACAGAACACACATGAGTGTCCCTGACGCACATGCCCATCTGGGCTGGCCCCTAGCTCTGCTAGGTGGCCATGCTGAGGGCCCTGGTAGGGAAACCTGGGTTCTGTTGTGTTGGGATGTGATGAAAGTGTTGGAGGAACTGTGTGAAAAGCAGGGGCACAGATCCTGGCCTGTGTGCATTCGGGGGCCTCCTGCAGTCTGGGCTCAGCTGCAATCCCTACTTGTGGAGCAGCAGCTCCACTGAAGGTTCTGAGCTGGAGCTCAGGTCACCCATGAGCTTTAGAGTCCATGGTTTATGCCAGGAGGGAGCAGAAGCCTGCAGAGCTACCCAGGAAGTTCTGCTGCTGAGTCAGGCTGAGAACCCTGGGCTCAGTCCAGTGGTCCTCAGAGGTCCTGCTCTATGGTTCATCCCTTCTCATTGCTCTATGGTTCATCCCTTCTCATTGAATCCAAACTGCCAGTTATGGTTCAGGTGAAACAGGTAAGCTGCAGTGCCTCTGGGGTGCCGGAGCACAGGCAGGTGGGGTGGGAGAAGGAGCCTCCACAGTGTGATCAAGTCTGCATAAATTCTGCCTGAAATCTGGCCAGGACCCTTACTCAGCAGACTAAAGGGTTTGAAGGCAGGGCAGTGCCTGTGGCTCAAAGGGGTAGGGTGCCGGCCCCATATACCGAGGTGGCGGGTTCAAACCCAGCCCCCTGCAAAAAAAAAGAAAAAAAAAGGGTTCGAAGGCAGTCATTCTCCCATCACCAGAGCCCCAAGAAGCTGGCCCAAGTCAGGTTCCTGGATGCAGGCCCTGTTCTGGCCATAAATACCTCTCCAGAGCTGGGGCTGTGCCTAGTGCCACCACCCCAGTGGCAGGACCTGGGCATCCACTTTGCTGCTTTTAAATGGCTATGACAAGACAGAGGTAGCATCTGAAGGACATCTCAGAAACTGTCGTTGGCCCATAAATTATGATTTAGGTGGTGTTTTCTTGGAGGAGCACCTCACACTGGACTCAGCCTCACCAAGGCGACTCTCAGGGTGGGCAAGCCGGTTCTGAGGAGTAATGGTAACACTGCCAGTCACTTGGGGTCTGCAATATCCAGCAATTAAAATACAGTTTCTCAGGCAATTCTGTTCTATTAACATGATGCCATGGGAGGACTCCAGTCTCTGGACTGTGCTACTGTGATCAAAGCCACGGGAGGTTCCTGCATCTCCCTTAAAGCTGAGCTGAAATGACCTCATTTCCAAAGAAGGGATTCCCCTGGAGGCCACCTTTGCTGGAGAGCACACTTACCCCATCTGGGCCTGCAGCAGTCCTTAGCAGAGAAGAAATGCAGCACTGTGACGGCTGGGACAGCAGAGCAGAGGGCTGGGTCATTTCCCAGGACAGGGAGCACTCGTGTCCCCTACACTGACATATTCAATCTAAACCATCAATCTTCAGAGCTTCCATCTCAAAGCCTTAGGTCAAATCTGACTTTGGGGCCAGTGTGGGAACTGCACTCATGAAGGGAGGACCCCTCCCTGGGATGCCTCTGGAAGGAGGTGTGCTTTCCCAACCTGACGCGGTGCAGCTCCCCCCTCGCCCTGCCTTTTTTCAAGTTGAAAACCAGGGTGCAAGCACCTATCTTGACCTTCACTCTGCACTGGGTGATCAAGGGGTAGTTCAGGAAGACTTGTAGGTGCCCCTTGAGAACAGGAGAACCAGCCGAGAACAGCTCCCACAGGAAAGGGTGCCTCTGGTGTGTGCAAACATGAGGAAAGATACGACCAGACAAGGCACAAGTCAGAGCAGTTCCAGTAGTGGACAGTTTCCTAAACGTGAGTGTTTACCAACATGGCAAAGGGGATATTCTCAAAGTGCAGTTCCCAGGGGAGGCTGAAAGCAGCCCAGACTGCTGTTCTGAGGGATGTCAGCTTCAGCTAACAGAGGCCAGAGGCTACTGAGGGGACACTTGGGCAGAGAAGCGTGTGGAGCAGAGGGGGAAGGCCAAGGGCCCAAAGTCCTCTGGAGGCCAGGTGAACCATATTCCCTCCTGCCAGGAAGGGAAAGCCTGCCCTCCATTGGCTACCACACACACCTCGTTCCCCGTCCTGTCTCTTCAATGTGATTTAGCAGTGACTTGTCTATACCTAAGGCTACCAACTTGAGAGGTATCAAGGAGACTTTTGGTCTTTGCTTCTTAAGAAGCAGAAAGCTATTTTGGGTGTGGGACACAACTACAAGAAGTTCTCTACCTAACAAATTCAAATACTGTGACCTTCACATTAACCTGAAATTAAGAAAAGAAAAAAAGAGGAAGCAGAAAGTAATGAGGTTGCTCCTTTGAGAACTGATTCCACAGAGGACGGTATGCCAGCAGCCAGATGCAGGCCCTGGGGTAGGCAGCACAGCTGGGCAGGGAGGGGACATTAGTCCAAGTGGCTGCTCACTGTCTCTGCATAAGGTTGTACCCCTCATAAAGGCCAAGCTGTACAGTGACCAGTGAGTCTCACTTCTTTTTTATTTTTATTTATTTATTTATTATTATTTTTTGAGACAGAGTTTCACTCTGTGCCATGGGTAGAGTGCTGTGGCATCCATAGCTCACAACAACCTCAAACTTCTGAGTTCCAGTGATCCTCCTGCCTCAGCTTCCCAAGAAGTTGGGACTGCAGGTGCTTGCCACAATGCCTGACTAATTTTTCTATTTTTAGTAGAGACAGGGTCTCATTCTTGCTCAGGCTGGTCTGGAACTCCTGAGCTCAGATGATCCACCTGCCTTGGCCTCTGAGAGTGCTGGGATTACAGGAGTGAGCCACCTTGCCTGGTCTCTTCCTTTTAATTTCAAAATATTAAAGGGGCACAAATGTTCTGGTTACACAGATTGCTTCTGTAAGGCTTGAGTCACAGCTGTTAAGTGTCCTTATCACCCGTACCTGTTAGGATTTTACCCATCCCCTCCTCCCCCTCCTATACTTATTCTTGTTTTTTTTTCTGTTTTTCTTTATTCTTCTGATTGATAATAAAGATCTGAGGACAAAACCTAGGTTTTCTATTTTAAGATGATAACAGCTATAAAAAACCAGCAGAAATCCCTGTTAGGAAGACACACTGGGCACTTGGGCTCAGCAGACATCCAGAAGCATCTGGAGGAGCTGCCCATAGAAGGCCCCAAGCAGCTGGGCTGAGGACTCCTGGGGCTGGGTTGCTGCCATGCCCTTCAGGCCCCAGCTGCTGTCCCCTTACCTGTCCTCTGGCCTCTGTTCCAATCTCCCATCGCCACACTGGTCACACGCAGGCCAGGAGAAAGCCGTGTTCTCATCCACACTAACCACAGTGCCTAGGTAGGGCAGAGGGAAGCCAGACCCGTAGAGGTGGTTTCTGCTCTTCCTGACACCTTTCTGACCCTCAGCACATGGATGATAATGTGAGGGGCCCCTTGTGACTTCCTCACTTGCCAGTTTATATAACTGTTCCTAAGCTTTTGTAATTTCCATTTGTTGTTCAAACAAAATTACAATAAAAAGGTTTAAAACTTGCCCACATACCACCACCTAACCAAGTATTTTCATTTTTGCTTGATATTTTATGGTCTTTTTCCAGATGCACACATATTTAAACCTACTGTCAAACCGCCTGTGTCTGTCTTATTCTATTTCTCAGGCTGGTGGGTTGCCATGAGGACTGTGCCATGAAGTGTGTGTCATGGCCCCTCAACTGTTCCCCATCCTGGACAATTGTGTCTCTAAGTTACTTCAGGGTGTAACTGTTAATATCTCTGTAGAAATAAGAACTGTTCTTTTTTTGGGTAAACTTCAGATAAATGTGAGGGTTCACATGATTAGGTTGTGTAATTCGTGTTTGTAAGGTAAAGTCCTTCACCAAGGTAGTGTGCCAAATACCCGTACATTGTACCCATTAAGTGGGAACTTAATGAACCTCTTTCCCCTCCCCCGCTTCTTGAATTTAAATGTTTTTTCTCTCATGTAGTCTTGTAGTTGTTCATCTACTGGTTTCATATCAGCATTGAGTGCATTGGATACTTGATTTTCCATTCTTAAGATACTTAGGAGAATATTCTCCAAATCCATCCAGGTAAATATAAAAGATGTGAAGTCTTCATCTTTTTCATGGACGAATAGTACTCTATTGTACACATATACCACAGTTTATTAATCCACTCACGGACTGATGGGCATCTGGGTTTTTTCCACATCTTTGCAATTGTGAATTGAGCTGCTATAAACATTTGAGTACTAAATGTCCTATACTACATCTAGGAATTTTCTGGACTGAGGCCCTTTCTTAGGACAGACTCTTAGAAGTAGATGTCAAAGATAATGACTTGGAGATGTAGAAAAATCCTTTTTTTTTTTTTTTTCTGAGAAAATGTCTCACTCTGTCACCCTAGGTAGAGTGTAGTGGCCTCAGCCTAACTCACAGCAACCTCAAACTCCTGGGCTCAAGCAATCCTCCTGCCTCAGCCTCCCGAGTAGCTGGGACTCAGGCGCCCACTACTATGCCTGGTTAATTTTTATATTTTTAGTAGACACGGGGTCTTGGTTGTGCTCAGGCTGGTCTCAAACTCTGGAGCTCAAGCGATCTTGCTACCTCAGTCTCCTAGAGTAGTGTTACAGGGGTGAGATACTGCGTCCAGCCCAAAAAATCCTTTTAGAAAGTGTTTCTCAAAAGGACGTTCTAATTTACACTGCCATAAGTAAGAGTGCTGGTTCTACTACAAGGTTACTAACTCCATCTTAAGCATTTGCCTCCTCTGTAATAGAATTGTTTATTTTAGTTTCCACTTATTTTGTAAGGAAAGATAAATATTCTTTTTATTTTATTTTATTTTATTTTTTAGAGATGGGGGTCTTGTTGTGGTGCTTAGGTCGACCTGCAGTGGCATGATCATAGCTCATTGCAAACTCCAAATCTCTGGTTTCAAGTGATCCCTTAGCCATGGTCTCCCAGAGTGCTAGGCCTACAGGTGTGAACCACTGTGCCTAGCCAAGACAGAAAAATAGCTGGCATTCTTTCTTTCTTTGGGATACCATGCCATTCTCTTGCTCTTTTTCTCCCCCCATCTTCCCTTCTCTCACTCTCTGCTCACTTCTCTCTCTTTCTCATCTTCCCCCTCACCCCTCTTCTCTTTCTCTCATACAAAATGAACTGATATATACATATATATATATATATTTTTTTTTGGCATGGGCTGGGTTTGAACACACCACCTCCAGCATATGGGGCCGGCGCCCTATTCCTTTGAGCCACAGGCACTGCCCTAATGTGGTCTACATGGGGACTTCAGAAATCACTTCTCTAACTCTGCAGGAGACTTGTCTAACTCTACAGGGGAGAAGTCACTTTTCTCCCTCATGATAGAACTGTGTCTTTCTCTTCTGGAATTTAAATCTTAAAATAATAAAAAAACTAATATTCTTATTGGCTCGTTAATATATGATTTCTCTGGTGTCCTTATTGCTATTGTGATTAAGGATACAGAAATTTCTTTTTCAGTCCAACATCTGTGACTTATTTATTCAAGAGACATACAATGACATGATGCTATTTAGTGTGGGCTGCACAAATGGTACTAGAAACCCAGGGAAGAATGCTGCAGGGACGATTCCATAGTCTGGTTAGGGAAGTAGATAAATAAATAACAAGTAAAAATACCATGAAAAAAATTGCTAAATGAGAAATGGAAAAAACCCTTGAGAAGCACAGCAGAGAGGCCCTCTGGGCTGGCTTGAGGGTCAGGAAAGGCTCATCAAGAAGATGATGAGGTGGGTCTGCAGGTGACAGGGCCAGACTCAATGCACACCTCAGCAGGCCCTGCACATCCCTGAGGGCTGGGGCTGGCGAGCCTGGAAGGGCCTGTAGCACACCGTGAAGCCAGTAGAGCTTCCCTTCTTCAGGCTCTTGCCAAGGATTGAAAAGGAATGACCTTCTTGGATGTGAAGCATTAGAGATACCACCTAAATACACTGGTAAATCATGGACCTTCCTAGTTGAAAAGTTGTAAAATTAGATATTTGAAGAAAAAGATGAAGATTATACACAAAAATAAGAGGGCCTTTTTTCTCACTCTTGGAGCAAAATATTTCATTCCCCACTATAGCAGGCATTAGGAGAAAACTTATCTTTAGAGGATAAAATAGAAGTATGAGAAATGGTAGGTTTGACTTATTAAAATA